GTCGAAAGTTCTTAAAACATTCAGTCAATAGTATACGTCGCAGTAAATAGATACAGTATTAAATATTATAACATAAATGACAAAATGTATTGATCTCAAAGTATCAAAAAGTTGGATTTTGGGTTTACAATTTAACTAAACATACAATTTTAGCATCAGCCTAACGCATCATTTTGAAAACGATATGCCTTGAAGTAATTGGCATTTGCCGATGTTGATAAATTATCCGATTGTGATCTCTTATTCCAAATGCAAGGAAATATTAGTGACGACACTTTTCAGTTTCTCAAAGAATGGTTTTTGCATCATATTTTTATCACTATACACCTACGGCATGAAAAGTTTCAAAAATAGAAGAGACAGCTTAAAACTCTTAGAAACGGTATTTGTTTTTTATTAGGTGTACCTTTTTGGTCTCCATAGAATATGGTTGTTATAGAAATACTAGTATGGGTTTATTATACATGCCTTTCAATGGAAACGAAAAGATTCCACTTTATCATCAAGTTTATACTTGAGGGAGTTTGTCGATATCAAAATTGGAAAATAGCATTTAAGAAATGAAGCTTTTAAATGCATGGAATGAAATCATATGTCGCAAAATACTATATACAGTATATACATGGATGCGTAAACATGGATTAGGGGATTCGTTCGTATGTCACACCGGAATAGCTTGACAACGGTAAAGGCAGATACCGTTGTCACATAACCGTCGCTTCAATTAGATTTTCATGAGCTGTATGTTAATAGGGCGACTTGATTAAATTCCTTTGGTACTGCAATCACTCAAAGTGTTTTTCTACTGATCATATAGTTAAATATGTTCTACCATCGAAATAAAGGCTTTAATTCTACTGATCGGAATATGACACAGGACAACGGATACTGTATAAATGACAACGGTAGGTGTGGGTCAAATGTGATGTAAAATCGAGGTGGCAGCGGTAATATTTGACAACGGTATATGTAAAGGCAACGGTAAAGTGTCTATTTACCGTTGTCATTTCCCTATGTTCCAATGCAATACATCCATCATGGTCCGTTGTCACATCTTATCATATGCCGTTGTCTTTGTAAATAATTTCAACTTCAGATTCCGTTGTCATTGACGATATCGAAGACGCTATATTGTGGCGATTCACGACCCCATTTGATATAAATATTGGGATATCGTATAATACATCTGCACACGAGCATAACACATGCACAGAATATAAGCGATGATAAAGTCCCATGAAACGAGGACCAAGTGATTAAAGAGTTGAAGCGACGGTTATGTCCGCCATTTGTGACAACGGTATTTGCGTTGTCAGGCTATTCCGGTGTGATATGTGTGGGGGGCTTTAGATCATTGGCTGGGATATCGGGACTTTTAACATTTGCATTCACATTGACATTCTTTCAAACAAGTCAAAGTTTGTATCCGCAACCGCATTTCGTTTTACTTGAACACATAAATCTGGTGAATGCGTTACGGATTTTAGATTCATTGGGCTTAAAACGTTACATGCGAAACCTCTATACAAGTATTCTGACATTCTCGGGTCCAGCCACTTTTCTTTGTTCAGATTAATGTCTTGATGTACGAAACTTCTGTCATCTCCCGAGACTCCGATCTCCTTGTTTTTATTTGGCATATAATGAATAGACTATAGAACATAATGGATCTTGTGGCTGTGCTACAATCTACAAAAACAGGAATTTGAAGTATCATGCAATATTGGATCCCTGTGACACCATCCCAGAAATAAAAAACAAAACAAAACAACACAACACCAATAAATCATACATGCCAATGTCATTTTTATGGGAAACCATTGGTTATATCTGAAAATATAATGATACTATATCCTCATATTCTCTTTTACAAATATCATTCTTCATCTTTTATCAAAAGACACAAAAGGGCAATAAAGCCAATATCTGCATTTGAAAACATTAATCTATATAAATGGGTAGTCACATTTACGAAAGTGTCCCAGCCGGGTTAGTAATAGAATTATGAATTCATGTGTTATGTGATTAGCTGCACAGTTAATAAATAAATAATCAAAGGTTATATCATCCTTCATTTTAATGCACGAACATGCCCAGGAGAAAATACACATTGTTTTTAGTATATTGTATTTTATCTTTTTTGATGACATACCTGTTTGTATATTATAAGAAAATAAGCACCTGCATTAAGTTTGCGATGAAGGTTTCATGTACATTTACTGTATAGGCAGTATCGAATACTAATGATGCCGAGAATGATGCGTTCCTAATACATAGGGGTTATGCACTGGGAGGTTTTGGATACAGGGAATATCCCGGGGATACCGTGCATAACTGTTGTATTCCATACCTGATGAGGTTTGAAATAATAAGCAAGCTCATAATATTCTCTGGTGTGTTTACTTGCAAAATATATAATCTTTAATAATATAATTTTTAAGTATTTGACGTGTATTTCTCACATAAAGCTATCTTGTACAAATGAAATGTTTATAACATTTTTGTATTTTGTTTAGTTCAATGCGGAAAGTAATTTTTATTGTTGGATGTACGTTTGGCCCTATTAGGGCATCAGTAAAAATAAATCCTATTATAATTATACGTAGCCATCGTATATCACCGAGAAAGGCTTATGCGGGACATAGGCCTACGATTCATATGTCCCGGATCCTCGTTGGAGCGGGACATACGAAACATATTTGCCCGGATATGGAATATATTCCCTGTTGATTTGTCCCTGAAACCTCATCAGGTATGGAATACATATGGGTTATGTACTGGGAGGTTTTGGATACAGGGAATATCCCGAGGGATATATAAATATGTATAGACCAACTTAGGGATAGAAATATAATATCTGATCTTATTTCTACACCGTCCCCTTCTCTATCACAATCAAGAAACAATAGTGTATAAGACAAGAAGGGACGAGATTTACAGAACGCGCTATGCATATATATTATGCATATACGAGGGGTGATTCAAAAGTAATGGACAAAAATTTATAGGTATACTTAACATTGTCCAATCAGTCTAATTTTCTGACAGACATTAGATCATTCAATTATCTACTAAGTGTCAAATTCGTGTCTAACTGCATTCAATATTGTATCAGCTATGGGTAACCATGGTAACTAGGGTACGCATGGGCGGAATCCATTTTTGAATGATAATTGAATATTTTGGTCATTTCTGTTTCATTTCATTTAAAGACTCCAACACATATGCTGTGTCTATAAATTGGTAAATGAATTGCCAAGGAAGACTCACATATTCATTCATATGCTGGTGAGTTCTTAGTTCACCAGCAAATTGTACTGTACTATATCTTAATGATTTTTTTAGAATAGTGAATCAAAGAGAGTCAGAAAGTGAGTCAGACTCTAAGATTCACATGTATCCAAGAAATGCCCAGAATTAGAAGAAATGTGACATTTACAACAATTAAAGTCAAACAAAGGATTTTCAAAGTATAATTGGTAGTAAAAGGAGACAAGACAGGTTATTGTCAGGAAAATCAAAAACACACAAGGCATTTTCAAGGCAAGCCTTTAGATATTGTACAGGCACTTCAATGGAGGTGATGAGAGGGTTTTGAATCTTAAGTGATCTAAAAGACCACAAACTTGCCACAAGAATAACAACAACAATATTCATCTTGTAGAAGCAATCTTAAATGCAGTTGGGAGATTGACACTGAAGGAAATAAGTGCCATAACAGATGATCTAAATATTAAATAGAATGTAAATGAATGATCAGGCATGACGTGAATTATGGTTGAACGTATTGTGCTACTGTCTTCAATCATTGAAAACGCTAACTTTTCATGAAAATGCATTTTATTACGATGGGGATATACTTAAAAAGCCAATTCCGGGTATAAGGACCCTAATGCGGGAGATGTGCTATATCTTGAAATGTATTTCGATTGATGTGATACAGTTTTCACAACTAATAGATAATTGGTTGATCTTCATATGTACCAAATTTCATACAAATTGGGTGGGAGTAAGCTTGCCTATAACATTTTGTCCATTACTTTTGAATCACCCCTCGTATGATGTATTTGCCGAACTCATTAAATAAATAAATAATTCTTGACAAAACATCACTTCTAAAACTAGTATCAATTCATAAAATACGCAAAATATGTCATTTACATTATGAGACAAAATATGATTTAAACATGTTACAAGTATACCCATGTGGTTTAGATCAATACCATGGTATCCTGAATCAATTAATAATGCTTGTACAGTCAAGATTGAACAGATGGATGTTTACATTCACTTAGCAAAATATCAAATTTTGAAAGAAATGTTGGTGTCGGAAATAAGTAAGCATATCTGGAAAACTAAAACGTGAACGTGGTGAATATAATAAAGTCCAAGAACGACATTGATTCGAAGGTAACCTAAGCTTGTATTCGCGGATGCAAACAGCGACCAGTGACTACCGGATTAACCTACTATTTTATGACCAACTCATTTAAATATGAATGGAATAGTGGCAGGTTTTATTCATATTCAAATGAGTTGCTCATAAAATTGTAAGTTAATCCGGTAGACGACAGCCGAAAGTTGCATTCGCGAATACAAGCTTAGTCTACTTATCGATCAGCAAGTTGCCCTACGATTTATCTCTCTGCAACAGACACAAGAATAAAACAAGTACATATGACTGAACCGCCATTCCCATTAAAGTAATCACCACGCAAATGTTAATAATTAGACAAGTCGATGTCAGTGAAAAGGCAGTTCATATGCAGAAATATATTCGATTACGATCTGCTATTTGACTGATGTTAGTAGTCAATGGTCATACATCACTAGATTAAGCTATAGGGTTACCCGATTTAACTATCTCGTTCTTAAAACTGTTGCTTTTGAATAAAGAGTATTGTCAAACACGAGAAACATTTTTTTCTGAAGAGAGTGGACGTTAGAATAACAGTGAATAACAAGATTGGATACCACTTTTAAAGTATGGATGAATATCAAGTTGAAGACAGAATTACTATCGATTAACACCGGATTAAGTCGTGATATAAGTATATCAGTATATAGGATTCTAGTTTTCAATTTATAAATGTGTAGCAGACACTTCAAAGGATAATATAATGGAAGGTGATGTCAGAGTGTGGATATTCATTGGTGTGTTTCTCACACTAAAAGGTAAGGTTGTCCTCTATATTTATCTCGAATCAGACATAAACGGTTAATCATCAGCTCATCCTCCTTCTAATTCAAATATAATCTCTAGAATTGTAATGAATGATTGATGATGATCTTGTATCAAAGGGTCATGTTGATGATACTACACACGTCCCTTGATAATTGTATCACTTCCCATATTTTATTAACTATTTTCGGGTAAAATTCAGTATAGTGCACATAGTGCCTTTAAGTTTAGTTGAAATTGAAAACAGAACATATTCGCGAACTTTGTAGCTACGCCTTCCAATGGTTTAATTTCGCTTCTTCGAAAGAGAACTTTCTTATGAAGTTCTTACTCACTGTTTCACGCCTCTACTGATCGAAAATATATCAACATATACACGCGTGATATATTTCAATTAAATTAGCATTGAACTATTTTTACATGGTATATAAAATGTGTATCATACTTGAAGTCTTTTTAGAGGTCTACATCACATAATACACGTAGTTCTTTTAATTTGAGATGACACGAACCCTTTTTAAAATACGCCTTTTATTCAATGGAGATTCAATAACAGATAAATATCCTACATCAGCTATCAATTTATTTGAATCAAATATTAATAGTTGATGTTTTTGGATACTTATATTACGTACCTGTCAATGCAATTTAGACTACCTGTCAAACTAATCTCTTTCAGATTTCGAATCAAATGGCAGTTTCCTTAAAACAGACATTTGTGATTCAAATCAGATTATTTTTTTGTCCCTAGGTTTATAGTAGTGAAAATGTATAAATAGTGCGTTTATTTCATGTGTAGAAATATGTGTTGAAACAGCTTGTGTTTAAACATATCTGAACACAGTCTGCCGGGTACATTACAGAACTAGTATAATACACATTTTGAATATTTTATGAGTAATTAAAAACATTTCTAACAACTGAATCTGTAAATGCTTAAGATTCAGTAGATATATGTTTTGTGATTTTTGGACTATGCCAATAACTTTTCGAAGGGATGTTGACTTTGACTCCCGCGGCTTGCACCCTTTGATTCATGCTCTCTGAGACCTGATTTCGTTTGTTCTACAAGATCTTTTGGAATGACTTTAGCTAGCTGTTCAATGTGATGTAAATGCCCCATGGTCTTGTTATTTCCGATGTTATCTAATACCATAAAAACAATCATAGCTACATGATAAAAGTACAATTGTAAATTAATGATAAAGCGTATTCTGATTTGATACTTTTATTAAACAGATTTTCCTCGAAGTAATATGTTTTGGCACCTGTGTCATGTAACATTACCCTTTCACACCGGAATAGCCTGACAACGATAAAGTCACATACTGTTGTCACAAATGGCGGACATAATCGTCGCTTCAACTCTTTAATCACTTGGCCCTCGTTTCATGGGACGTTATCGTCGCTAATATTGTGCATGTGTTAAGCTCGTGTGATGATGTATTATATGAAATCCCAATTTCTATCAAATGGGGTCGCGAATAACGCAAATGCGAGTAGGTAGTTACCAGTTTCACCACCAGGTGGCTCGCTCGGGTCAGATAGCATGGCGGGTATAGTGGAAAGTTCCCTTTAACTTAAATTACATCTGTTCAAGTGTTTCAATTTTCATATAGCCCTTATGTATCTAATAGTTATGCAAATTAAAGTATGTCCAGTAAAAGAAAATGTTATATGTCCAATACAAGAAAAGATATTTCACTTTTTGTGATTTTGTAATATGGGGTCTATGGGGAATCAACCCGAACTAGAAGTCACATTTTCAAAAAATATTAAATTTTCAAAGTTGATAAACAATTTTCGAAACCATATTTTTAGATGTATTTTTACATGTAGATTTCAAATATGACATCACTTTGACTGAATTTTGAATATTTAATGACGTAAATCAAGATCATTTCTACTCGCATCTAGTCTATTGCCACAATATAGCGTCTACGATGTCGTCAATGACAACGGAATCTGAATTTGAAATAATTTACAAAGACAACGGCATATGGTAAGATGTGACAACGGACTATGGTGAATTATTGCATTGCCTCCGTTGTCATTTATACAGTATCCGTTGTCCTGTGTCATATTCCGATCGGTAAAATTAAAGCCTTTATTTCGATGGTAGAACATATTTAACTATACGAGGGTTGTCCCAGAAGTAATGCACTATATGGTCTAACTTTCTTTAATATTCTTCAATTCAGCTGAAATTTTGTGTATATAACAATTGAAGTTTTATCTATTATATCCTGAAGTTTCAGCATCTAACATTAATATTAAGTCTTAATATTGTTGCTATAGCAACATGGGGGTAGGGGTAGGTGGGGCAGGTATCAATTTTTCTAATTATGAAAAGATCCAAAGTGTTATTTTATTAATATTTCTTTTTTTAAAATAATCAAAATGTTTTGGAAATTGTTAGATTTATTCAGCATGATGATAACCAAGTACAAATAATGTCATTTGGCACTGTGATGTCATAATAATACAGTTCAATAGTCACAAATTCAAATATAGTCACAGTCGAGAATTTGCAAAATGGCTAAAATTTTCACCTGATAACAGAAGGCCTTGCTTTTGGTGGCCTAATTTCATTGTTCACTTGGACACATAGCCATGCAAAACTTATGCTACTGTGAAGAAAGTATAAAGGAGTATATACCAGATAGAACAACAATTATGAGGTGGCAGAAGAGATTTAAAAGAGATGACTGGACCCTGAATGACAACTCCAAACATGGGAGGCAAAAACTCCACAAGTCACAGTGGAAGAAATTGCCAAGTGTGTTTGACCTGACAGGCATCAAAAGTACATAACATGCAAAGGGCAATATTTTGAAAAAATGTGAAATGGGACACTGTGCAATATACATCCATTAAATCTAGGATGTGCTCATAGTAATTTAGTATCTTAAAATGTATTTTTGGGCATACTTCTTGTAGCTACACAAAATGGTATTTGTTGATTAATTATTTTATATTTTCAATTTTTTATTCCTTTTGATGTGACTGTATAACCTGCCCCGCCCTACCCAAACTCACCAACTTGATTTTATTACAACATCAAGATAGTTTTATCAGTCAACATGAAAATTGGTAGAATAATCAAAATGTCTCTAAGGAACATTTACTGAAAATTTCATGGAAAAATATCAATTATTGATAAAGTTAGAGCATATAGTGCATTACTTCTGGGACAACCCTCGTATGATCAGTAGAAAAAACACTTTGAGTGATTGCAGTACCAAAGGTATTTAATGTAGTCGCTCTATTAACATACAGTTCATGAAAATCTAATTGAAGCGACGGTTATGTCCGCCATTTGTGAAAACGGTATCTGACTTTACCGTTGTCAGGCTATTCCGGTGTGCCTTTTGTGATAGGTAATTTTAGTAATGTAATACCATGCGGAATTGGTCATTTCATTCATTTTTCGTTTGAACGTTTGGGTAACATCATTGTTTCTGAGAGACAATTTCACGTTTTGATTTCGGCTAAATTGGATAAGAGAGTGTTTCATGCACCAAATGCTTGCATTGAAATTGTTCACATTGCAAAATTTGTATATAACATTTGATGATACACGTTCACAGCATGAGAAAAATAACGAAAATCATTACATTAATTCCTTAACCACTTTTCACTTCTTAGTGCACACAATGCCTGCGTCGAACCATATTTACACAAATTGATATCATAGAAACCATTGAGAATACTTACTTGAATACTCGAATGCCAAGACATCTACAATAATTGCGTTATCGGGAACTTGTTAAAGGCAGACAGACATATAACATTTCTACCCATCCTGTCCATTTATAACTTTGTTGTTCCTGCGGGATTCCCCTCCTTTGCAAGTCAATTAAAATACTTTTTCAATTGAGTAATACACGGCGCCGCTCATTTATCTTCTGTTTGATGTATTCCAGGCACTTTTTGACAGGAACACCCAGGCGTAAAAGTCTCAATGATCAAACTAGTTGTTAAACTAATCCCCTCTTTAGAACTTGGCAATCTCTGGGCTAATTTACATAGCACGTATACAGTAAAATCTGTATACGAGGGTTGTCTTATGGAGCCGCAAAAGGTGTTCACTGATTGTAGGTGTTCACTAAACACAGCTGTTCCTTATAGAGAGGTGTTCACTAAGACAGGTTTTGCTGTATTTCCTTAGTGATGGTTCGGATTCCTCTTTATTTTCCAAGGGACTTACAGTATTTCCAAGATATACTTACAACGAGATGATTTATTGTCTTGATTTCATTCTCATGATGAGTTGAGATACGTCCACGATTAACAAGAAAATGTAAGGCAGGACAGATTAGAGTTTGAAGATTAGTAAAATAAGAAGATATATTTGTCGACTTGAAACACTGGTTAACACCGTACATAGAAAACATAAATATACATGATAGAAAAGGAAAATCTCAAAAATCCTTATACATTTCACTTAATTTTTGAGTTTTAAGAGCCCAGACCCATTCTAACACTTATCTGTCTATAAAACGAGTCACAAACAATACAAATCAAAAATAATTCATTGCTAAACAATCAGCTAAACAAGTAATTTCAGCATCTCTTTGATACTATGTTTTGACAATTTATCCGATTGTGGATAATTCCCACATTTAGTGATATTTTTCTGGAAATACCCAAAGAATGGTATTAGTATGGTTGGTTGCTACCATGCAAATATAAAGATATATGAAAAGCACACCTTTTCAAAGAAAATAGCAGTGAGAATCTTTTGCAAACGGGATTGTATTTTTGATCAATTGAAAACAAACCTCTGTGATCTCCACAGAGTATGGTAATGATAGCATTGAATGAAACCTATACCCTCAATAAGCTCTATGGAATATCCTGAACTTTTTAAGTTTTTTACTGTGCCAGAAATTCTATATTTATTTCAATGCATGGTTTCAGAAGTATGCAATAATCAATTAGTTCAAAGTAAATAGCTCTATTCCCATTTTTTGTGTTGAATTAAACCTGG